TAAGGATATGGGAAAATTATACCATTTTAGTCTTATAAACTTTTTGTATTTCTTTATTTATTATTTATTGGCTGATTGGACATTTTAATATGCTTGCTTCTGGTTGTAGCCTACACTACTAAGTCAAGAGTTTTTGAGCAGTAAGATTTTTAATGTTTTATAAAGTCTCTTCTGCTCAACAAACCTGCATTTATTTGATCCAAAATACAGCAAAAGCAGTAATATTGTGAAATACTTTTACTATTTAAAATAACTGCTCCCTATTTGAATATATTTTAAAATGTAATTTATTCCTGTGATCAAAGCTAAATTTTCAGCATCATTTCTCCAGTCTTCAGTGTCACATGATCCTTCAGAAATCATTCTAATATGCTGATGTGCTGTTCAAGAAACATTTTATTATTATTATTATTATTATCAATATTTAAAAGTACATATTTCATGATTCTTTGATGAATAGAAAGATCTAAAGATCAGCATTTATCTGAAATAAAAATCTTTTGTAACATTATACACAAAAGTTCAAGTTTTTTTGGGGGGGGAGGGGAGAAATTAACACTTTTATTTAGCAAGGATGCTTTAAATTGATCATTACAAAAGATTTCTATTTCAGAAAAAATGCTGTTCTTTTGAACTTTCTACTCATCAAAGAAACCTGAAAAAATTCTACTAGCTGTTTTCAACATAATAATAATAATAATAATAATAATAATAATAAATCAGCATATTAGAATGATTTCTGAAGGATCATGTGACACTGAAGACTGCATTTTTAAATATATTCAAACAAGAACAGTTTATTTAAATTGTAATAATGTTTTACAATATTAGCGTTTTTTAATGCATTTTGCATCAAATAAATGCAGCCTTAGGGAGCATAAGAGACTTCTTTCAAAAACATTAAAAAAAAAAAAATCTTTATTCCAAACTTTTGACCAGCAATGTAAATATACTATTAAATATACTACAAGTTCATTCATGCTAAATTTATGTAGTTATATAAAATTTTAAATGTTAAAAATGTTTATGTAGACATTTACATTCAGCTTTGAAATCACAGGAATACATTACATTTTCAAATATAAAACAGTTATTTTAAATAGTAAAAATATTTTAAAATTGTACTGTTTTTGCTGTATTTTGGATCAAATAAATGCAGGCTTGGTGAGCAGAAGAGACTTCTTAAAAAAAAAAAACATAAAAAAATCTTACTGTTCAAAAACTTTTGACTGGTATGTAAACTGTGTACAATAGAGTTTAGGATTTAAAAAATTTTTTTTAGTGTGTATGTTTTAGCAAGTGAAGAGAGACAGATAAACTTTGTTAAACGGGAAAACTTAACCAATGTAGTTTTGAGTTACATGATCACGGAGAGAATAAGCAGAGTGCTTAAACTTCTCCTTTTACTCTCAGGCTTTCTCACACGTATCAAGATTGCTGTCTCAGTGCAAGTTCGAGGCTCTTGAGGGATTCGTAGCTAAAGATGTAAGTACATGAAGATACCAATCACTTTTATATTATATTATTAATATTGTTTACCTGTTTAAGATTATCGATTTCATTTAGAGTAATTAATCTAATATACCCTCCCATAGCTAATAGGGAAACTTGAGGAAAAATGCGCTCAATTGCCTTTGAGCCACCAGAGGGCGCTGTCTGCTGAGTCCGATGAGATCATGTACACAACAACAGGAGATGTGGGCATTTACTATGATAATAGCGGTGAGACCCTATATAGCAGGGGTGGCGAACGTCGGTCCTGGAGAGCCGCAGCCCTGCAGAGTTTTGCTTCAACCCTAATCAAACACTCCTGAACAAGCTAATCAAGGTCTGAAGGGTTACTAGGAAGCTAGATAATAGCGGACCCTATATAGCAGGGGTGGCGAACGTCGGTCCTGGAGAGCCGCAGCCCTGCAGAGTTTTGCTTCAACCCTAATCAAACACTCCTGAACAAGCTAATCAAGGTCTGAAGGGTTACTAGGAAGCTACAGGCAGGTGAGTTTTAATTAGGGTTGGAGCTGAACTCTGCAGGGCTGCGGCTCTCCAGGACCGGAGTTCGCCACTCCTGCTATAAAGCTTCATACCACGCAATGTTCGCCCAGGTAATATGTTTAATTATTGTTTGTGGGCGTGTAATTTAGGAAATATAAGCTTTGAAATCAGCATATTTATCCTTTTTGTCAGACTGTTTCTTATGCCAGCCAAATTTAATGCGTTCAGTAAGTTACTATTTTAAAAGAATAATTTTGTATAACGTAGACCACAAATAAATATGTATGCAAAAATAATTGCAGTGTTTTCCCATTGCTTTCAGGGAGGAAATATGTAAGTATTTTGATGCGTTTTTGGTACTTGACGAGTGCCAGACTTCCTGATGAGAGTATGGAGGGAGCAAGAATATTCCAGGCTGCCATTGGTGGAGAGGGAGAGAGACCAGAGACCAAGAGATTGCTGACAGCCAATTATGAGTGAGTACTGTGATGATTCTTTCCATTGGCTTACATATATATACAGTCAAACCTAAGTTTATTCAGACACCTTCAACATTTCTCACACTATCACAGCTTATTCGCTATAGTTTAGAAAATGGTAATAAAACATGACATGAACTCCGAGTTAAACTGTCAGAACAAATGAATCTTGATAAAGTCAGATAACTTTGATAGAAAGGTATGTAATGAATTAGGTTGAATAGCTGTCAGCTGTTAAATTTAAGTACACCATTAGATAATACCAATTTAGGTCAACCAATTACCAAGCAATGCTTAATTTTGTTCAGTCTGTGGTGTAAAAAGGTCGCATTAGCAATTAAAGAAAAAACACTTAAGCAAAACATGGTCAGGTCAAAGTGTCTGAATAATTTTTGGTCCCAAATTATTATCAATTTTACTGGAAGTCCACTGTATGAAGAATTTTTGGGTATTATATGTCACAGCTTACTTTATTTTGCAATCCTCACTTACATAAATGAACTAAAGTGTCCTGCACCCACTAGTAAAAAATTACAAAAATTATATCTGGTGTCTGAATAATTTTTGGTTTGACTCTATATAGGTTCTTATGTTTTTATTACAGTTTAATTTAACTATTCATATTGTGAATAATAGAAAGCTACAATTTGAATACCTTGAGTTAATGTCATAAAAATATCAGTATTATGTTATAACTGTAGTAAATTATAATATAAACATCACTCTTAAACATTTATGTCTGTCTTGTTTTCCTGTTTTGGCAGATTCCAAAGGGAGTTTACCCAAGGTGTGACTCCAGATTGGATCATCACGAGAATAGAGCACTCAAAACTTCTTGACTAAGTGTGTTTAATTTGGATAGGAGAGTTTTTTTTTAATGCTTTTTTCATTTAATATTGCTCATCATGCCAAAACTTGTAGGCTCAATTCACTAACCTTCACTGGAAAAAAATAATGCTGAAATATTGTCAGCTCCTGGTACTTTCCATTGGCAATAGAAGGTTATAAATATTGATTTGCTGTATACTTCAGTGTGTTTTATCTCACTGATTTCACATTATTAACTATTTTATTGTTTGTAATTTATGTTTGCTCCTCATTGATCACTTTGGTTATTAAAAAAAATATATTTTTTAACATTGTATGATGAGTTTTGGGGTGAAGTTGACTGCACATTGCGCAGACTGTGCAACTGAACTGTAAAACTATACAAGAAATATCAGGAGAAATAAAGAGCAATTCTTTAGTATTAAAGCCACAAAGACCACTGCCTGGATACTAGGGCTGTGCGATATTGAAGAAAAATGCGATAACTCATTAAATAATGCGATATTCGATATGCGATACGATAATGCTTAAAGTGCCGTAGCGATATGCATATTGCGATATGTACATTATATTTCGATAATTTCGATATATTGCACAGCCCTACTGGATACTTTGAAAGACAGGCTCATACAGAATGATGAACTGACCAGTAAGTTCTGTAACGGTTTTATCAAAACTTCCATGTTATGTAAAACGTTTTAGTGCAAAAAAACATAATGTAATAAAATATCATAATTCATAAAAATATTGTACTTTTAATTTTCTCTAGGATGTTATAAATGGTTAGTAATTCTAATGGAATCTACTTATTTTGTGATGTCATATATAGTACAGAAAAGAAATTTGGAACCAAATATTATTTTCCTATCATTGTTATTTTTCTTGGTTTTGTACATGCTTTTTTTTCATTGAACATAAAATGCAGTACCTTTTAATGCTTAATAACATAAACATATGCTTGTGTTTCTATAAAAGTGCTCACCAGACTTTCTGAAATATGCTCTGGTCAATCTCAGACACCTTCAAACGTTATTAATTATAACTCTGTAGCAAAAAATAAAATAAATAAATAAAATAAAAATACTAAATACTAAAAAAAATACTATATTATAAAATACTATACTGTGTTCTGTAATTTTCTAATCGCAATGCTTTAAAGTGAAAAGATTTTATAGCAAACCAACTAAACCCCCCCCCCATTTATTATTTTAAATTAACCAATTCCTTTACTGCTTATTGCTCATGTTAGTTACAGGGAACATACAAAAATATCCAGATAAATTGTGATAGTAAACCAATATGATTTTTAATATTACCATATTTATATCCATTATAGTAAGACATAATGGGGATATGAAAGTATACTGCATAATCTTAATTCCTGATATTTGATGTGTAATTATACGCGATGCAGGCACTACGTCCCCTTGCTTTAAACTAAGCATTCAAGATGACACGACGGACCTTGAATGACCCCTTTATTGACGCCTTTCTGCGTTTTACATTGAGGAGAAATATTCCACGATGATCCCACCGTTCTCCTGCCATCCCGCCCACTGTCAATTGTGATTGGCCAAACCCAGAACCTATTCTGCCTCTCCATTGGCTACCCTCCTGTCTGCGTCGTGATATCATGCCAGGGGCTGCGTGACAGGTCCGTAGGAGGCTTCCTATAGGTTTAAACAGGCAGTATGTGTTTACAACATAGACTGTGGGTTTACAACGAGGAAAGCGGAGACACGATTACAATGAATTTGTAAATAAAATCAAACAAATCTTGTAGAGACATGAGACTCGCTTTATACGCGTTTTGCGGCTTTGCTTTTGGGCTTTTGCTCGTGGGTTTGCGGGAATTATTGTTTGGTTTCGGGGAGAACCGATGCAGCATGACATACATGTTCGAGTACCCAGAATACCGAGTGAGTATCACTGCAAACACAGTCTGTATCACTGTTGCTTTCTTCACACGTTTGCTTTGCAATTCACAAAATGCATCATTTCTTCCAATTAGAGCAACCTCACTAGCTCACAACACAATTCACTGGCAGGCCATGCATCAGTTCCTCATACCTGTCATTCTACCTGTTGTTTTGGCAACAACAAACATTCCTTATCAGCAACATCAGTCATTTTACAATATTTCAATGGGCAAAATCTTTTTAACCCTCTGTTATCAATATCCACCACTTGGGGGTCACTTTTGTGTTTTTAATATGTTTTTATTATTTATATAGTAATGGATTTATGGTAAAAGACCATATTTACCTGACAAGTATGCATCATGTTTTTTTTTCTATATGAAATATAACAAATATTGGGGGAAATATGTCGTCATTTAGTTACTGAAGAGGTATTTAAAAATCCAAAAGAAAATCATATGTAATACCATGGTGTAACCACTTGCAGGTATAGCCTAGTTTCGAGTACCCAGAATACCGAGTGAGTATCACTGCAAACACAGTCTGTATCACTGTTGCTTTCTTCACACGTTTGCTTTGCAATTCACAAAATGCATCATTTCTTCCAATTAGAGCAACCTCACTAGCTCACAACACAATTCACTGGCAGGCCATGCATCAGTTCCTCATACCTGTCATTCTACCTGTTGTTTTGGCAACAACAAACATTCCTTATCAGCAACATCAGTCATTTTACAATATTTCAATGGGCAAAATCTTTTTAACCCTCTGTTATCAATATCCACCACTTGGGGGTCACTTTTGTGTTTTTAATATGTTTTTATTATTTATATAGTAATGGATTTATGGTAAAAGACCATATTTACCTGACAAGTATGCATCATGTTTTTTTTTCTATATGAAATATAACAAATATTGGGGGAAATATGTCGTCATTTAGTTACTGAAGAGGTATTTAAAAATCCAAAAGAAAATCATATGTAATACCATGGTGTAACCACTTGCAGGTATAGCCTAGTGTATTCCCTAGTTGCTTATAAGAGCATTGCGAGTACATCTAAAAATGAAGCTCTACCTGCCATACATTCAAACCTGCACTGCAACCTGAACATGCTTTTAAAGTGTCGTTTGTTTCAGGAGTCCTGTTCTACAACTTGATTTGCTTGTGGTCTTGCATTCTCTTCACCTGTACGTTTTTAGCGTGTGCAGCTTCCGAAGCGTGTTGCGCGCCAGTACCCATCATACGGGCTGTATCTGTATGGAGAGGGCGCATATGCTCAGGAGACCAGAGGACTCAAGCTCACTGGCGCTCCTGTGCTCTTCTTGCCTGGGAATGCGGGCAGCTACAAGCAAGGTGAGATGGAACTGGTTTTTCCTCATTATTTCAGTCAGCACATCTTACACATGTACACATGTGCTATGTAAATAGCTTGGTTTTGTTTACTTTTTCTTTAAGGTGGGTAACCGGTTTGTTTGCTCAATCAATCTTGATCCTCCTTCTGACTTTTTCCCCAGTACTTATGAAACACTCTGATTGTTTATTACAAACAGAGGAAGACATGTGAGAGCTCACACAGAGATGTTGTTATACTCTCTCTTGCAGCTCGTTCTCTGGGTTCAGTGGCATTGAGGAAGGCTGAGAACCTGGACAGGCGAATCCATATGAACGTGTTCACCATCGACTTCAACGAGGAGTTGGTGGCCCTGTATGGGGGCAGTTTGCGCAGACAGACTCAATTTCTACATGAAAGCATCAAAGCCATCTTGCGCCTTTACAAGGTCAGAGGTCAAGGGCATCTTTATTCCTTTTCCATCTGTTTTGCCCTTTTACTTTCTTCCCATTTCCTTTCCATCCTTTTCTGTCCCTTTGTTAGAATTACAGATCACAAAATTTGTTATCTAGACTTTTGTTCATAGTATACACACTTGGTTCACTTGGAGCACTAACAGTAATGATTGAATTTATAGACAAGTATTAGTTTTGAGTTGATGGCACACAAAATATAGGCCTGTAGGTTTATATTTCTTCAAGGTTGAATATACTACAAAATAGGGCTGTGCAATCATGGGACCGGCTTTACTGACGAGATGCGCATGACAATCGCATGCGATTAATTGCACAGCCCTACTACAAAACTATTTTCAGATTTTCAGTCTGGAGGAATCAATGCTAGTTACATAGTCAGAGCCAGTCTGCAGATTTTGGACAGTCAGAGTTGGCAGATATCACAGAGCATTCTTCAATATTTCAGCACATCTTATACATGCATACATATGTGATATGAATAACTTTCCCTTCTAGGTGTTTTTTTTTTTAACTTACTCCACGATTAATGAAACTTTCTGATTTTTCATTGCAGATGGAGAAAGAGAGATTGTGAAAGCTCATTGCAACACACAGACAATGCCGAAATCCTGTAGCTTAACATAAGATTATTGCTTTAGCAACACCAGGGTCATGGGCTAAGAACGGATAAAATATTTACTTTGAAAGAAATATGAGTTGTAGACTCTTATGCAAAGCTAAATGCATAAATATAAATGTAAAATCACATAGTTTCTGATGGGTACAGACTGATTTTTAGCTTCAGTCTAAAACATGTTTTATACTTTGAGCCGATTTTAGAATGCATATTCTTATTTGTCATGCGTCTCCTAGCAACAAGGCGCATGTTTCTGCATGTGTTGTGCTTAAACAGTGTTAAAGTCTGGTTGTGTTTGATCTTCAGCCATCTATGTTGATGTATGATGCCAGTTTTTTCTGTAACCATTCACAAAGTCAGCAAATGTATGATGCCTATTGTTTCAAAATCTGTTTAGATTTTAAAAGTCATGTAGTGTTTTCCAGCCTTTCAGTCACTTAGTAATTGAACCTCATTGCTATTAGTAGGTCATCTAAATTCAAACCAGTGATTTTTTTTCTTCTACATTCCCATGGCTGCAGGACCGTCCAGACCCTCCCACAGGTGTGGTTCTGGTGGGTCATTCCATGGGTGGAGTGGTGGCAAGAGCGTTGTTCACCCTGGCACGTTTCAACCCACGCCTGGTCAGCCTCATCATCACCCAGGCCTCACCCCACCAGGCACCTGTCCTGTCTCTGGATCCTTATATACTGGGTAGGAAAAAACAGACCGACATAAGTATGTACAGATGATTTGTTTGAGAGTTTTGAGGGTACACTACAGTTCAAAAGTTGCTTTTTTATTTTGAAAGACATTGCTATTTTTTATTTCACAAGGATGCAATAAATTGATTAAATGTAACAGTAAAGACAATTATAATGTTACAAAAAATCTGTTTCAAATATTTGCTGAATTTTTAATTAATCAAAGAATTCTGAAAAAATATGTGTTATGGTTTCCACAAAAATTTTAAGCAGCCACAATTTTTTCCCACACTGGTAATAAGAAATCAGCAAATGAATAATAATTAATAATTAATTTTACAATATAACTTTTTTTTTAACTGTATTTTTGCTCACATGAATACATGTAGTTATGGTGAGCATAAGAGACTTCTTTCAAAAACTGAAAAGTAAATACTGCCCCCCATACTTTTTTAACAATAGTTTATTCAGAAGGTATAAACTTGTGTATTTGTATATTACACTTTCTCAGTTTGATTGTTTTTTGGTACACTAACATCTGAATTGTGTGTGTGTGTGGTAGAGTTTTACTCTACAGTCAGGCATCGCTGGGCCACAAATGCTGAAGACCTTCGAAATGTAACAGTTCTCTCTGTGGGTGGTGGTTACCTTGACTTCCAGGTGCGCTCTGGTTTGACAGCACTGTCCTGCCCCATTGATGACCTCAATAAGATGTCAGTAGTGGTAGGTCTACTAGCCATTAAAGTTATCTTTAGTTTAATATTTAACTAAAGATATTTTTTTCAAGCAGAACCTGATTTGTATTTAATATGCTTACCATGGTACATCAGTGTTTTGTGAATTGGTTTTAGGCGACTGCAGTTCCCCGAACCTGGGTTTCCACAGATCACATTTCCATCGTTTGGTATGTTTTTGTATCCTAGCATTGTTTCATGAAAATGGAGAGAGAATTTAAACTGATGGTTAATTATTTTGCTCTTAAAGGATTAGTTCACCCAAAAATGAAAATTAACCCATAAATTACTCACCCTCAAGTCATCCTAGGTGTATATGACTTTCTTTTTTCAGACGAATCCAGTCTTTGATCTTTCAAGCTGTTTCATGGCACTCAGCGGATGTTGCATGCATCAGTCCAAAAGAAGTTAAATAAAAAGCGCCCATCCATAAAAAAAGTGTCTCACATGGCTCTGGGGGGTGAACAAAGGCCTCCTGTAGCGAATCGATGCGATTTTGTAAGAAAAATATCCATATTCAAAACTTAATAATCACTTTAATGTAGCTTGCGCCAACAGTTGTACACGGAAGCAGCTCCGGGCGGATGAGGTATGAGGTCGGCTTTGCACATGCGCCGCTCAGAATTGACGAACGCGGAAGCGCAGGGGAGAGAACAAAACAAAACAACGGTCACTAATTAGAAGTACAAAACAAGGATTTGTAAAGAGGAATGTCGGAGGATTTCGATATAAGCCAAGAGGAGACTGGTTTTCCTTTGCTAACGTAAGGAAACTTTGCTTCCTTATCTCCTGTTAACAAACGTTGGTTTTCACGAGACTCACCGGCGCATGCGCAGCGCTGACCTCATACCTCATCCACCGGGAGCTGCTTCCGTGTACAACTGTTGGCGCAAGCTACATTAAAGTGATTATTACGTTTTGAATATGGATATTTTTCTTACAAAAACGCATCGATTCGCTACAGAATGCCTTTGTTCACCCTCCGGAGCCATGTGAGACACTTTTTTTTTAATGAATGGGCGCTTTTTATTAAACTTTTTTTGGACTGATGCATGCAACACCCGCTGAGTGCCATGAAACATCTTAAAAGATCAAAGACAATTTTTAATATAACTCCGACTGGATTTGTCTGAAAGAAGAAAGTCATATACACCTAGGATGACTTGAGGGTGAGTAATTTATGGACTAATTTTCATTTTTGGGTGAACTAACCCTTTAAGCCTCTTAACTTCCTAATGGCTAATGAATTTCATCCTTTATAATGTGAAATCCTCTATACTTTAAGGTGCAAGGAGCTGGTTCTGGCCACAGTCCGGGCGTTCTTTGACCTTATTGAACCTGAAACGGGGCAGGTGAGTCATGTCCTAATACAGTGTGAGTGTGTGTTTAAGGTGTTTTATTGACTCGTGTTTCTCTTTAGTTCACAGAGAGTCCTGAGAAGCGAATGTCAGTGCTGAACTATCACTTCTTTAGACATCCAGTGCTGCAGCCTGGAGGAGCTCAGGATGCCCCTGTCACTTTCTCCGGTCTGTGTTTGCGTGCACCTGTATATTTATAGGCTTATAAGTTTTCATCACAGCTGGAAGATAATATCTGATTCTCCTTTTCCTGCTATTTATATCCGAATCTGTTCATCCATCCTTCCAGCTCCTGAGGCGTGGAAGGAGGTCAACACACTCCGTCTGTTCTACAGTGCCCCCAAGGTGACAATATGTTTCATCATCTCAGGCAAAATTATGCCAGCAGCGTCTCTCTGAACGTTGCACTAATGTAAACCAACTCTTGGCAGGAAGCTCAAGTCATGTACTTCCTGTTTGCCCTCTCCAGTCGAAGGAAAGCCTACAGTCATTTCCACTGCCGCAGTGATAATATGGTGAGAGAGACCAACAGCATCACACCCAGAAAACTTTTTTCATTTAAATGTAACATTTCGATTTAAATGTCACTAAACATTTGGTGAAATTAGGTCTGTTTAAGAGCATTAATTTTAAATCTCTTTACGTGGTGTCCCAGTTATGAAGAAAATGTGCATTCAGATGTGATTTAATGTAAAAATTCTTATGTTTTAAAACTCTGGTCAAATATTAGGAAGCAAAATCATACTTGTAAAAAAATATTTATTATTATTAAATAATAAGCAAAGTAAGTATATATTTTGCAGGAAAGTGCAGCTTTTCCATTATGTAGGCTGCTGATGGCCAAATTTTCTTTGTTCCTCGTGACTTACACTCTTAAAAATAAAGGTGGTTAAAAGGTTCTTCACGGCGATGCCATAGAACAACCATTTTTGGTTCCACAAAGAACCATTCAGTCAAAGGTTCTTTAAAGAACCATCTCTTTCTTACCTTTTTATAATCTGAAGAACCTTCTTTCGCCACAAAGAACCTTTTGTGAAACAGAAAGGTTCTTCAGATGGTAAAGGTTCTTTATGGAACCATTTAGTCTGTACATGTTCAACAGGAAATGACCAGCTGGCTGTATGGCTGTACACAGATGAGTGGCTCGATGTGGTGAGTAAAATAAACCACATAAATTCCTCTCAAAAAGAAATAATTACCACCAGGCCCGTACAGAATCCGCACTCGTAAAGTTAGCACATTTTCATAAGTCTGGTGCATTGCACACATGTTGATCCATACCATCATTAATTTGGACTCTAGTTTATAATCTAAATTGTATAGTGTGTGTTATATTATTTGCTTTGTAAATTGCTTTCTTATCTATTTTTCCCAATTACCCAGTGTTCAGGCAGTAGATCTCTCATCTCAGACAGAGCTTCTTCCAGCCTATAAGGTCATTCTAGTTTATTCAGTAACACATTATATAGCTACATTTAAAATAAAAATTGTTGTAAAAATGGTCTGTGTTTCTTTATAGGCTGTTACAGTGAAAATCAGTGAACTTTTGTCTGTCTCTCATCTCATCATTGACGCCTCAAACCCCAGTGGAACAGAGGTTAGAAGTTAACTTACAGTCCACATTATCATGTTCGTAATGAAAACTTGCATTACAAGACAGACCACATTAGCAGACGCTTCCCTTCTTAAAACATGCATTCAATGGTTTGTCAAAATAATTTGCGATGAGCTCGATGTTTTAGATGCTTTCTAAATGCTTGATTGTCTGATTGTAGTTTGTAGTGGAGTGTGAGCTGCAGAGAGAGGAGAGCTTGACTGTCTCAGTGCAGGTGCCTCATGTGCTGTCCTTTGGTGAGCCACTGAACTGCATGCTTGTGTTTGCATTTTACTTTCAAGGCATTTACCAGATGCTGTCATACAGAGCAGTGCTTTTTAGTTGGCCATTTTGCCTTAACGACAGCTATTTTTACACATTGTTAACATAAAATAGGCCTGTATAAAACAATGTAATAATCTTACACTGTCATTCTTTAATAAAATAATAATAAGTTGTTGTGTTTATTCTATGTGGATGCTTTAACTTGTATGTGACGGTTTGTAGGTCTGACTGTTAGTGACATCAGCATTAACTCCTCTGGGCTGCTTCATACACTACAGCTGCAAGACTTTCATCAGGTGATCGCTCACAGCATTCCCTGTTGTTCTGCTCTCCTTCCCTTTGAACCTCAGATTCTCCATAGAATTTATTCCTCTATTTTCAGATGTCCATTCATAGTAGAAGCTTTTATAATGGTACAAATCCCATAATGGTCTTTAGAATAGTTCCTTAGGTTGATGTTCTATTCAGTAATCTGTTACACCCTAATCTTTAATTAAAATAAGACATGTACCCGAAAGCATAATAAAAGTGAATTTGTTTGTTCCTTCAGGTCTATCAAGCTTTCAGAATAACAATCACTAGTCACTGCAAAACCACTAAAGGTAACCAGTTATTCAGCTTTTTCTGCCAGAAATGAAGCATGATGAATTAAAAGACTGATACTGTATCCGTGTTGTGTTATACAGACAGACTGCCCAGTGTGTACAGACTGAGGGTACCTTGGTTTCGTGAAGACTCCTTTGATACGGCAAGGTAGAAAGAGTCTTGTGATTAATCAGCTAACTTTCCTCAGCTCTGTTTTTGCAGCAGAGTACTGATGGTTGTGTTATTTATGACTTTCTTTTTTTTTCCACCGAAGTATTCCTTCGGTATCTGACATCTACAGCATGCTTCACACCAGCCGCCCAGACAACGCCTCCAGTGCCCTCCTGCAGCTCCACACTGCCCCCAACTGCCAATACAAGGTATTTCATCCACATTTGTTGTTTTCTCAAAGGCGAACTTATCAGTTATCGGCAACAAATTTTGTATTTTGTCTCTATAGGTGTCTATTCGGACTTCGTTCCCCAAAGTGCTTGGGCAGGTGTGCTTACAATGTGGTATTTCATTTGGCATGCTGTTAACTTTCAACCTCAGAGTATTCCTCATATTCAAAAGGATTTGTTTTTCTTTAGATTCTGTGTTTCTGTGGTCCAGTTCTGCCTGTCTATTCAGCTGTAGTGCTTCTTCTGATGATCAGGGCTCAGCTGAGCTCCATCAAAAGATCTGGGCATCCTGCTGGAATCCAAGAGGGCATGAGTAAATCGTTACAGCTCCACAAACTGGAACTGCCCATCCTCCTGCTGCTGCTGCTGCTCAGGTGATTCCTGATACAGGAGATTTTTTTCTTTCAGGCAGTGTTCAGTTTTGACAATACAAATAAATTTTTGCCTGCGAATTATACAGTTATCAAATGTTTACAGTATATATTTTTCTATTTTTTCCCTCTATTGTTCTACCATAGGCAGAGCTGGTTTCAGGATGTCTGGTCCTCTCTGGGACTCCCTGCGGTGGATTCTCTTCCTCTAAACTCTGTGGAGGACATATCCCAGGATCCAAAGGCCTCTGTGCAGGAATGGCCCCGTATAGTGTCCCCACTGCTCTGTGTGCTAGGTTCATCCATTGCATTCTGGGGTAGCACAGTCCTCAGAGTGTTTGTCTGCTTCCTGTCTTTTTTTCTTGCTCCACTTCACAGGTAAAAGTGTTAATAGTAAGTGCTATTGTAGTAGCTTTGTAGTAGGTGCTCTAAATAAATAAATAAATAGATGATTTTTGTTGTGTTATGTTTTATCTAAATGTAGATGTTTTGATCTAAATCAAACATCAGACAAAATGAACACTTGTCATTCTGTGAGTTCAATAATGCATTTTTTTTAAAGAAAGCAAGGATGCATTAAATTGATCAAAAATTATAGCAAAGACATTTATAATGTTACGAAAGGTTTGTGTTTCAAATAAATGCTTTTCTTCAAAATTTCTGTTCATCAAAGGATCATAAAAAATGTATTGCCATTTCCACCAAACTTTTAAGACAACTGTTTTTAACATTGACAATAATAATAATTTTTTTTTCTTGAGCACCAAATTAGCATATTAGAACGATTTCTGAAGGATCACGTGACACTGAAGAATTGCCTGCTGAAAGTTCAGCTTTACCTTTAAAATATATAAAAATTTGAAAGTGTTTTTAAATTGTATTAATATTGTAATAATATTATTACTATCGGTTTTGCTGTATTTTTGATCAGATAAATGCAGCCTGCTGAGAAAAAGAGACTTTCAAAAGCCAGACAGATTAGAAAATCCTTATTGACCATAAACCTTTAAAAGGAAGTGTGAAAACACATTCAGTTCACATGCAAAAATGTTTTGTGTGGATTATCTTTTTTTAAACATGATCTATAAATCTTAGATGTTCATTAATAATTTAATATAAATATTAAGTCAATATTTTAACATATAATGCAGTACAGCATACAGTATTGTACTGTGGTTACAGGACATAAAATAGAGCCTTCCTTGTATAAAAAGTATGTACATTTTGATCTAAAGTCCTGATGTTGAATTACCAAAAAAAAAAACAAAGTTATGTATATGTGTATATATATGTATATATGTGTGTGTGTGTGTGTTATAACAACCACCCCAGTGCAGTTAATAGATGACACTGTTAACTTTTTGCCATAGAATCTATTTAATAACTATGTTTTTGCAGATCTTTTCATAAATGTTTCCATGTCACGTGTGTGTGACTCTGTGTTTGTCTGCAGACCTTCAGTGTCCCGGGATTGCGGCACGCTTCGTCTTCATTCTCAGATTCTCCTGATTATCTTTTTAAACGTGCTGGGAGGTGTCACATGTGGAGCACTGGCTCTTATGGTCTCCTCTCTTCTCCACCTCTACAGGGTGAGTAATCTGTCCATCCTTCATCAAACCCTTTCATACCTACTCCATATAAAGTTGTGTTAGTGTTGATTAGCGGTGAGCCTAGAGAGATGTTTTTTTTGACCTTGTGCTGAATGCTTGACTTAAAATATTTCTACTGATGCTTAAAATACAGGTGCATCTAAAAAAATTTAAATATCAAGGAAAAGGTCTTTATTTTTTGTAATTTAATTCAAAAAAAGCAAACTTTCTTCTATTCTAGCTTCATTGCACACAAACTGAAATGTTTAAAGAGTTTTTTGTTTTGATTCTAATGGTTACGACTTGCAGCTTAGGAAAATAAAAAATTCAGTATCTCAAAAATTTAGAATATTTTCTCAAAGATCTATCAAAAAAAGATTTACAAAACAGAAATGTTCAAGATCTCCAAAGTAGGTTTAATTATGCACTCAATACTTGGTTGGGGCTCCTTTTGCACGAGTTACTGCTTCAATGCGGTGTGGCATGGAGGCGATCAGCCTGTGGCACTGCTGAGGCGTTATTGAAGCCCAGGTTGCTTTGATGGCGGCCTTCAGCTCATCTGTATTGTGTGTCAGATGTTACTTATCTTCCTCTTCACAATACCCCATAGATTCTCTGTGGGGTTCAGGTCAGGCGAGTTGGCTGGCCAATCAAGCACAGTAATATAATGGTCAGCAAACAGTTAGAAGTGGTTTTGGCACTGTGGGCAGGTGCTAAGTCCTACTGCAAAATGAAATCAGCATCTCCATAAAGCTTGTCAGCAAATGGAAGCATGAAGTGCTCCCAGATCTCCTGGTAGATGGCTGCATTGACTTTGGACTTGATGAAGCACAGTGGACCAACACCAGCAGACGTCACGGCACACCAAATCATCACTGACTTAAGAAACTTCACACTGGACTTCAAGCAGCTTGGATTCTGTGCCTCTCCAGTCTTCCTCCAGACTCCAGACCTTGGAAGTGGTTTTGACACTGTGGGCAGGTGCTAAAGTCCTGCTGGAAAAGGAAATCAGCATCTCCATAAAGCTTGTCAGCAAATGGAAGCATGAAGTGCTCCCAGATCTCCTGGTAGATGGCTGCATTGACTTTGGACTTGATGAAGCATAGTGGACCAACACCAGCAGACGTCACGGCACACCAAATCATCACTGACTTCAGAAACTTCACACTGGACTTCAAGCAGCTTGTATTCTGTGCCTCTCCAGTCTTCCTCCAGACTCTGGGACCTTGATTTCCAATTGAAATGCTAAATTTACTTTCATCTGAATAGAGGACTGTGGACCACTGAGCAACAGTCCAGTTCTTTTTCTCCTTAGCCCAGGTGAGACGCTTCTTACGTTGTTTCTGGTTCAGGAGTGGCTTAGTTCAAGGAATGTGACCGCTGTAGCCCTTTTCCTGAAGACGTTTGAGCGTGGTGACTCTTGATGCACTGCAGACCTTCAGTCTACTCCTTGTGAAGCTCTCCCAAGTTCTTGAATCAGCTTTTCCTGACAATCTTCTCAAGGCTGTGGTCATCCCTGTTGCTTGTGCACCTTCTCCTACCACACTTTTTCCTTCCAGTCAACTTTCTATGAATATATTTAGATACAGCACTCTGTGAACAGCCAGCCCTTTCAGCGATGACCTTTTGTGGCTTACCCTCCTTGTGGAGGGTGTCGATGATTGTCTTCTGGACAACTGTCAAGTCAGTAGTCTTTCCCATAATTGTGACCCTGGACCACAAAAGCAGTCTTAAGTCGCTGTAGTATATCTGTAGCAATAGACAAAAATACATTGTATGGGTCAAAATTATTGATTTTTCTTTTATGCCAAAAATCATTAGGATATTAAGTAAAGATCATGTTCAATGAAGATATTTTGTAAATTTCCTACTGTAAATATATCAAAACTTAATTTTTGATTAGTAATATGCATTGCTAAGAACTTCATTTGGACAACGTTTGTGGTCCAGGGTCACAATTGTGGTTGCATGTTCTAAACTAGCCCAGGAGGTACCCAGTATTTATACTCAAAATTAATCAAACTAATCAAGATCAAAATTGAATATTCTAATTTTTTTGAGATACTGAATTTTTCATTTTCCCAAGCTCCAAGTCGTAACCATCAGAATTAAAACATTTCTTGAAATATTTCAGTTTGTGATCAATGAATCTAGAATATAAGAAAGTTTGCTTTTTTTAAATTAAATTACAAAAAATAAAGACCTTTTCCATGATATTCAAATTTTTTTAGGTGCACCTGTGTTTACTATAATATTTCTCTTTTCTAATTTGAATGTACAGTTTTCTTCGTAATGATTTTAATCTCTTGTGATTATTTGTCTTTGTCCAGGTGCTTAGATTACAGATGACCGAGAGGTCACTGAGCCACATGTTGAACCTGGTATGAATGTCATATTTTACATCGTTTCTACTTGGCTTACAATACCTGTAAGTTCAAAGTGTTTTGTTTTTGTTAAACCAGGCGCCCCAGAAAGTTTCACAAAAATCAGAAAATGGTTTCCGTGCCAGTGATGGTCACAGTAAGGTTAAAGAATGTAATGGCAGCCCTCTACTGACAGAATCAGTGCTACAAGACGTCAGAGATGATCTGCAGCTCCACTTTAGTCTGTCCACACTGCTTACTCTTACCATGATGCTTACCGTCCCTTCCCTTATCCACTGGAGACACAATCTCAGGTAATCGTCATTTAGAGTATAAATTCATTAGATTTATTTTCCTCTGCATTTCTCATGCAAGTTACTAAAGCACTGCAAGCAAGTTCTACAAGAGATCAACTGCCTGAGAGTGAAGAGAAGGTAATCTACATCCTCTAAGAATTTTAATTTGCACATGTATGTGTCTTGTTCAGATATTGGGTTCATCTGGATCCTGACCCCTGCTGGCCTCACGTTGTACCCCTGCTCATCAGCTCTGTTCTGCTCATCAACTGTAACACAGATACACTCCTGCGCAGGTTTGTGTGCATTTCTTACAAATGTATTCATGTTATTTATTTGACATCAGTTCAAATAGTCATATTCATCAGTGGCACTCCTTAGAATGCCTAATATGGCCATATCAAAGAGCTTTTTTCATGATGTGGATATTTATGATGTTGCTCAATTGTAATTTGAAATGTTCATAAATATATAGTGAATATTATATTTAAATACATACAAACTGTTGTTGAAAGTTTAGGGTGGGTAAGATTTTTTTTTGTAATGTTTTTTGAGAAGTCTTTTATGCATTTATTTAATCAAAAATGCAGTAAAAACAGCAGTATTGTGAAATATTATTACAATCTAAAATAACTTGTCTATTTTAAAATGTTATTTATTGCTGTGATGGTAAAGCTGAATTTTCAGCAGCCATGACTCACATGATTCTTCAGAAATCATTCTGATATGCTGATTTGATGCTCAAGAAACATTTTTTAGCAATTTTGAAAACCGTTTTTGCTGCGTTAATATTTTTGTTGAAACCGTGACTCAGGATTCTTTGATGGATAGAAAATGGAAATAGAAATATTTTATAACATTTATATTTCCTTAACTGTATATTTTGATTAATTGAATGCACCCTTGCTGAATAAAAGTATTAATTAAAAAAAACAAAACAAATCTTACTGACCCCAAACGCTTGAGCAGTAGTGATGCCTGGAAGTCTATTGTCACAAGTTCTAACAGTGCTGTATGTCTGTATTTATACTTGTATTACAGCAGACTGATGCTGAATCTGACGCTTCATCTGCTGTTGCCGCTGTGTGTGGGAATGCTGGCTTTTTGTCCGCTGCACATTTACAGAGTCACTTATTTCCTGTCTGCAGCTCTGACCCTCTTGGTCTGTTCTTGCTACTTTTGACCTCCCTACGAACTTTAAACGTGAGTCTGCACTGAGATTAAAACAAGACCTGGGCTTTGTATCAATTCAGAGCAGATTAGACCAAAACAGCCTTAGAACCCTTTGTGTGTTCAGTGGGATCACATGGACTAGTGACATCAGTGGACCAGCCCATCCGGAGTCATGTGACATGTCGTTTGTCATCATTTGTAGCTTCTGTACAGGGTATTATACTTGTTAATGGTGGTATGTCTGTATTCATGAGCAATACCTCTTGTTCGTAAGGCTAGTTTCCCAGACACATTAAGCCTCGGCCTGAACTAAACTAAGTCTAAGACTGTATTTAATCAGTGTGTGAGAAACTAGCCTGTACTTGTGTGTGTGTGTGTGTGTGTGTGTGTGTTGGGCTGTGGGAGTGTATATGTCTGATTTAGTATTCATTTGTAAACCTGAAGTCATAATTGATAGGGATACACAATATATCGGTATCATTTCAGTTGTCAGTGGATATTAGAGGTTTTTTAAATATTTATTTATTAATTTATCGGTATCTGGTATTTCTCTTTCTTCATATTGCGCATTATAATTTCAGGATGCCTAAAATTCATTTGTAGAATTTCAGTTTTTAGTCCGTTATTTTGAGCGAATTCATAAAAATTTTATATAATTTTAGTATCAGCCATGTTATGGTTATCGGCCATAACACTTATTATTTATCTGTATATGCCAGAATTTTAAAAATGGTGTGCTATCAATTGACCCTGTTTACTTCCTGATCTTGTGCATGACTCATCAGTGCATGTTATTCCAAAGATTTTTTTTATTTTTTTATTTCTGATTAAATATTGAGAAATGGAGCAGTAAGAACACCATCTACATTTGCTCCAATCCAGATACATGTTCATTATTTTATTTTACGTATTGATTCAGATCATTGTGGTGTGGATAGTGACTGAAAAGTCCATAGTTTCATAGTAAATGCATTGTAAAACCATTGGGAACTGTTCTGTTTGCTTAAACTAATGTTGTCACTTTCAAACGAGGCTTTTCTTTTTTCTGTTGACTCCGTTTTATTGACTGAAGCCTTTGCTTCAGTTCTGATTCACAGTATCAACAATTTTTAATCACATTACAGAATTATTTAACAATTTTGTAGTTGAAAAGCTGCAGAAAAATGCTTTAGCAATTAATTCCAGCCACCGCTAATATAATATCCGATCAAGCTTTGCAGATCTTGCAAAAAAAATTGTGTATCATATACACATCTAACATGTCACATTACGGAAGTAAAATGGGTTAGCAATGCATTTTCATGCTGACTTTAAAGGATGTAAAAGCAGCTTTAGGTGTTTGTTCAGCTTTTCTGCAATTCACATGTCTATGTATGAGCGTGACTGGATCTCTTTGCCCGTTCTATCTTCGATCTGTCATTTCTGCCTTAAGCCATTTAGCTTTGAATGCACATGTAATGCCTGTAGGTGCTGGAGTACCTCTGTGTTAGACAGATCACTTCTTATTAACACCCTTTTGCATTAGCCCAAGCTGTAAGGCGAGTCTGAGTTTCGCGAGGTGCGATCGCAAAACTGGACTGACAAGCAATATGATAATTCATTTTATATCGGTGTGCACAATTTGTGGTGTTGAAAAGACATCACAGTTACATTTATGGTTATAGCGTCTCTTATAACCTGAGACAAATTGTTCAGTCACAGTAGCCATGAGATTGTTGTTTTTTTTCCCTGTAATGTTTGATGAATGCTGTTGATGGTCCGTCTGTGTTCCTCACACATTGCTCACACAGCAGCATCCATCTGATCTGTCATCATTTGATCTGCTCATGACGGCTGATTCAGGATCGCTTACCTGAGAGCTGAAATTATACTTTGTCATCCTGAATCAAATGAGAGAACGGTGCCTTTCTTGTAATATGCCCCTGCTTCTCTGATACCCATTCGCAATTTAACCTTCTCTTCATTGAGGACGGATGTCAGTCCATCCAAGTAGTCCGTATTTAAATCAGACGTCCTCCTCTCACAGGATGTACTTGACCAAAAACACTCATATGGCACAAAATTGTGTTTTCTGCACTGTGAATGTACCTGAATGTGTGTGTGTGTGTTTGAATCATTTTGCAGTGAGCTTTGATGTTTGTTGTGCTCTGCCTCATTCTAAATTTGAGCTGTTTTTGTGGTGAAAGTGTGAAAGGCTGCCTTTTTTCTATCAATATGATTGTGACTTATTGTTTTCATTGGTGTTCACTGTGATGTGCCACAATATTTGGAGGCCAGGATCTGATTATATGTCTCAAAGCAAGAACTGCTAATTCAGGGCCAGATCTGTCCTGATTATGTAACAATGAAGCCAAACGGATCCAACAGCAACTCTTTAACAGTGCAGCAATGACAGCAATGTTTGTATTGATGCTAGTAAGGCTTCTTCTGTGGAAATGTAATGAAGAATTTGCTCATTTTGTTTAATAGAGACTGTTGTTGTGATGTGGTTAATAGCTCTGCTGTAGCAGCTAAATATTAATAGTAAAGACCCTAGAGGAATGTGGTTTTATAAATACACTACCATTTAAAAAGTTTGGGGTCAGTAAGACATGAGCTTTTAAATTTTAAAAGAAATGAATACTACAATATTTAGCAAGGGTGCATTAAATTGATCAGAATTGTGTCAAAATTCAGTTTCAAATAAATGCTGTTGTTTTGAACTTTATAGTCATCAATAAATTCTGAAAAAAAAGAATCATGGTTTCCACAAGAATATTAAGCAGCACAACTGTTTTCAACATTCATGATAATAAGAAATGGTTCTTGAGCATCAATCCAGCATATTAGAATGATTTCTGAAGGATCATGTGACACTAAAGACTGGAGAATGACTGCAAAAAATTCAGCTTTGCCTCACAGGGAAAAAAAAAACATTTTAAAATGTATTAAAATAGAAAAATGTCAATTGTAATAATATTTCATAATATTACTGTTTTTAGATCAAATAAATGCAGCCTTGTTGAGGATAAGAAACTTTTCCAAAAAATTAAAAGTTACTGACCCTAATCTTATGAACAGTATTGTATGCCATAACAGGTGATTTGAATTGATTAAAACAAATAAAACATTTAATTGAAATGTATGTATATATCTGTTAAGTATGTTGATGTATTAACAGGTTTAGAATATGGAGGGATATTAACCTGAAAGCCGCAGTCGAACCATAATCGACCTTTAGCGAAAAAAATCTGATCAGAGGGAACAAAAGCTTACAAGCCTGCACATTCCACAGTCATATTCTGTGTGACAAACAATTTTTTGAGTAGGGTTTCAGATTGGGCTTCAAGTTTAGCTGTGACTGTTTTGACTTTTTTATAGAATGCAGCTCACTGCCTCATGAACCTAAATGCTGTTGTGCTTTAATATATTTGCAGTGACTCACTCATTACAGTGACTCGTCTGTTATATCTATATTTTAAGGAGTTGATATCACTTGTCTCATTTGAAAGCGGAGTTAATATTTTAAAATTAAAACATTAATCAGCAGTTGTAAATTGCTCACAATAAACCTTTTGAAGTATAATCTTCGAAAATGTTTACTAAGAGATATAGTTCAAGTTGATACAAGTGTGATTATAGTGCTGTTTTGCTTGGTTTGTGGTGCTTTTGTAATTCACTCATGTGCAGTGACTATGAAACTGTAAGAGTGTAAATGATTCATGTCAATGCTTCTTTTATACTGATATGTGATGAAGCACTGTCTATCAGCACATGTATGCTAACATATTAGCACTTCTATTAGCAGTCGGACTGATTTATCATCATTGGCTTGCACCTGTTTGGCCAAGCAGCAGCGTCACTGTGATTGGTTGTGATCATTGTTTTCTTAATACAGTGATTAGGGCAGTTCATGCTTATTTCTGGAGCATCTTTTGTTGTCGTTTAATATACAGACTTGCTAGAAAGTGTCAGAGATGTTGTGTACCTGCTTTGTAATTAAATTGTTACAGTGCAGGAGAACAAGGTAATTGCTTGTTTATCTCTAAGCTTTGTAAATGGTGAAATAACAAATTGATCATTCTCAGGTTAAATAACGTGTTGTGGAGTCAGTGGCTTTTAGTGTTTATATATCTTAACATGTTATTTTACCCAAAAATATGTGCAATTTTTGAGCACTACAGCAGTTCCAATAAAAATTGTTTACTCAGAGTTGGTTCTCAGATTTATTGAACATTTTCTGTGTCTGTTGCCATTTTATTTTATTATAATTTTTGTTTTAAAGGATTGTTAACCCAGAAAGGACAGTTCTGTCCTTAATTACTTGTGCTCATGTCATTCCAAACTGACTGTCTTTAAAGGGGTCATATGATGTTGCTAAAAAGAACAGTATTTTGTGTATTTGGTGTAATGAAATGTGTTTATGCGGTTTAAGGTTCAAAAAACACATTGTTTTCCACATACTGTACATTATTGTTTCTCCTCTATGCCCCGCCTTTCTGAAACGCGTCGATTTTTACAAAGCTCATCGGTCTGAAAAATGACTTTACAGATCTTCTTTATGCACCAAGAGCTTGTAACACTCCAAAGAGAAAGGAAAAATTGAAATCGCATCATATGACCCCTTTAAATTGAGGTATGGTTGTCACACAAAATTAGTGTATGGCTTCAGAAAAATTTATTTTATTTTAATGTTTTATTTTATTTAAATTTTTGTTGCTTTATATATTTAAGCTTGACAGTTTGAGTACCCAGGACAGTCTTTTACATTTTTTTAAAATTTGATTTCAAAGTATTTTTTATTGTTATTTTTTTTCTTTAATTTTTATTTCAGTGTTATTTATCTATTTTTTATTTATTTGCTTAATTTACTTACTTAACTAACTTATGCTTGACCATTTCAAAGAGTACCCAGGATATTCTTTTAAAATTGTATTTCATTTGATTTCAAGTTATTTCATGTAATTTTTTTTCATTTTTTCAATTTTTATTTCTTTTCTTTGTGTATTTTTTGTATTATTTATTTATTTTAGTTTGACAATTTCAGAGAGTCTATGATGTTCTTTTAAAATGTTCTTTTTTGTGTGCACTGTCCCTTTAAAAAGAGGGCAGTATGTGTGTTCCCTCAAACATCTTGTCTGTGCTATTTTAATTCCTGCTAATTAGTCACATTTAATAAAATTTAGCTTTTTTTTCTCAGCCTAACAGATGGCTGTTAGTCGTGCTGAGATTTGGCCACTGCAGTTGCCAAAACACCATTTGACTGGAGATGTTGACGTTCTTTCATCTCAGCTGAAAGACAGATAGCTATATAATCAAAACACAATGTCTTCTAATATCTGATGCACTGTTAAAATTGCTTCACAGAGCGGTCCTCCTCATTCATAAATACATAAATCATTTGGCCCATACAGCTCATTGATAGTCAGCTGTATTTACTCTGAGGATGGCACAGAATTAATGTGAACACACGTCTCGAGTGATATCCAGGTCTATTGAGTGTTTAGAATAAACCACAGGATATGAATACAAATGCTATCTTCAACCAAGCACAGGCTATAGAGTCAAGTACAGTCACATCAAAGAGAAGATTCATCTACGGTGGAATGGAAATGTGGCCCTGAATGTTCAATACCAGAGGACTGAACTTTTTTATTTTTTTGCACGAGTTTTGTCCAAAGTAAAACTTTTTAGGAATATATATTTAAAACCTTTTTAATTGGCATTAGTTAATGCAAACCAATTTTTCAAATGACATCATTTTTAAATATGTTAAAGCCCGTTCTAATGACGATAGCCTAAAGTTTAAAAAAATCCTTTTAAATTTAAAATAATAGCAGAGTCCACAACACAATTATAACGATAACGACAGATGAACGATATCATTGGAATCACTTTCCAGCTGATAAACGATAATGACACTGACAGCCAATCAGAATCCATCCTACTTTAAAGAGCTCAAACGTTTAGAGTGGCAGACGACAAAATTGCACGCAACTTTAATTCTCGCTGGAACGTGCTGATGACGTATCATGTCTGCACAAACAGGGTGCGCAGGGGTATGCAAATACATATTTGACAGGCAGGCAGGACAGCCTGTCGTAATGTTCAGGCCGATCATTTTAATTGGACGAACATTTTATGGTCCTACGCCTTCCACAGATGATATAAATACAAATAAATAATTTTAGACCACTTAACTTCGCGATTGCTTTCGGGATGTGAAGAGACTTTCAACCAGCATAACAAAAAATTTTTTTTGAACCAAATCACCTATCCTGCTTTGTTGCCATCTCTGTTTGAAACCTGCAATTGCAGTAATTTGCGGAATTATCGTTTTTAGTTTCAGTGGGACTTTAATGTTACTATACTTATTAGCTACTTAATGTTACTATTGTTCATAGTTTTAAACATTAACTCAGAAATGCTGTAGAAGTAGGCTATTGTTATTGATATTTCAAATTAGCAATTGCATAATGTTAACCAATTGAACCCTGTTATAAAATGTTATTGAAATCTATAATGCCTGCCAAGTTATTTACAGTCTTTCACTGGTAAAAATTAGCATTTCAGTTTAATAGTTTTGCGTTAAATGTGTTAAAACATTCCTTTGTAGGCTATAGAGCTTATATCACTCTTGTGTGATGATATTAAAAGTATAATGTGATTTCCAAGCTATGTATTTTGTGGATAAATATAAAAAGATATGGGAATGTCATTATACCTTGAAACACAAATAAAATCATTACTATATTACATCACCTCCCAGTCTCCATTAAGCAGACCTATAAACAAAGTACCAAATTATACAGCAAACAATTTATTTGAGCCTATCTGCATTATTCTTTATAAACTGCATTATAATGAGATGTGTGATGTGAAGCTGTAACCACAGAGGTTTGTGTTGTGTGTGCAGGGCAGAATGACAGATGTGTTCCCCAGCAGTCGCCACCCCGCCGCTCTCACACTGCCTCCAGCTCCGGAGCGCCTTATAACTGCTTTATTACCACCGCTGCATGCGCTGCGGGAACAGACCGAACCGAGTGGTCACGTCCACAGGGAAACCAAACGCCGTTTTCTGGTATAATTACACAGGCGTTGAGATCAAGTCTTCAGTAGCGTTAAATCAGATAGATCGCGCTGTAATCCTGGATGTGATCGCTCATCTGTCAACCTGTGCAGAAGGGAACTATCTATCCCCTCAGTCGTGATTTCTGCTTCGGGTAAGTGACAAAATCTCGCTACAGTGGATGAAGAGGCCTTGAATATAACGACGCATCGCTGCCAAAGCGAATCCAAAGAGGAAAGAGCGATAAAACAGCATTATTAACGCACGTTATTGGCCTTTGCGCCGCGGATTTTGTTGGCGTTTCCATGGACACATCACGTTGATGCGCAGGTACGCGGTTACACAATGTACTGTGTATGTAGTATGCAGCCGATATGTTAAAAGAGATGTGTTTTATGATTCAGCAGTTTTAATGCCTTGTTACATCTTGTGATTGACTTTCATTTGCGTATCTCTTTTTCTAGATGTAATAACGGTGCATTAGCTGGTCTGACTCAGAGGTTTATAAATAGCCTACATATGCGCTGATGATGGCTT